TATTTTCGCACTATATACTTCTAAAGAATAGAATTAGGTACTATGAATGTATATATTTATACGTGTAGCTCTTGTATTTCAATCCTTGTTAGAATAATGTGTGACTACTTTACAAGGATGAAACACATGTTATACTTCACTGGAAGAAGAGCAACACTTAACGTTTCCGCTTATTCAATTAACAGCTTAACATCTGTGCAGGACATAGCACACATAGATAGCTGAAACATGCAGTGTTATCGCGAGATGAATATCGCGTCTTGTCTGTCAAAGTGGCGTCGCTAGGTCGGGTGTCACCAGGTGCGGCACACAATGGTGTCACCCCCCCCCCCAGCCAATTAAAAAGTACCAGAAGTATGTATATGTATATATATATATATATATATATATATATATATATATATATATATATATATATATATATATATATATATATATATATATATATATATATATATAGCTGTAAGTTATAGAACTGAATGTAAATTGTTTTCTTTATATTTAGCATGTTTACGTCCAGGTATCACCGTCCGCCCGTGGCGGGCTCTTCGATTTGCATTCAATACGACTTTTTTTACTCTAATTAATCATTAATTAAGCTGGCGAAAAGAATTTTTCTTCTATACATTTTTCATTTTTTTGTCTTGGTGTCACCCCTCTAGATGGTGTTAACTGTTGCGGTCCGCATCCCGCCCCAGCCTCGCGACGCCTCTGGTCTATCACAGTGCCCGGTAATATATCTAGCGTATTAAGCTGGGCAACGTCGGTAGTGAGAAGATTCAGTTTTAGCATTGGGTTTTAATACAAGTTCTGATTCATGGTATTTGAAAAAAAAATGAAATTGAAATTGATAGGTTAGCCAGCTGAACATTGATATCATATAAAAGAAAATAACATCACAATCTACATTAAGATATAAGCCTTTTCAACCTCCCTTAAAATTTAGTGATGAGGGTTCAACTATAGTTTGATTAACACATAGGCTTGTCCGATCTAGAATAATGTAATACCATTTCATTTTATTTTATTTTATGTTTCAAACAGTCTACAAACATGTTGTATTTGTGTTTATGTGATAATATACACGGAGAGGCTATCCAGAGGGGGAGACAGACAGAGGAAGGGAGAGAAAGAGTAGGCAATATACTTCTTCCAATGATTAGTTACTTTACGTTTTTATTAATGACAAAAGCTATTGCTTTAACAGTAGTGTGAAGGAAGCTTAAAAGAAAAATGCAAAGAAGTGAAGAACTCTTAGCTCTAATCCTCCACTGTCTTTAACTCTATATTTGTTGTTCATTCACAAATTGGGCAGAAGAAGTAGAGTTCATAAGTATCGTGACCTTGGTAAAATGTGGTCAGCACTTTGATCAACCGCCTTTTCTTCTCCTAACGTTTTATTGATTTCTACCCGGATTCGAACTCGAGACTTTGTTATTAGCCGCCTAGCGCTCTACCGCTTAGGCCATGCCGTCCCATACATAGAAATTAAAGGACCCTTTAAAACTTGGCGTCTTATTGAGCAGATGAATTCGAGTCCGCCTGTTTCAGTGACCTCGGCATATGAAGGGGTAGTGTAGTCAGCATTATGTCTTACGAGTTGGGACACGGGACATTCACACATAATAGTGCATTGTTTTCAATTATAAGAGAATATAAATTTCGTTAATAAAAATTATTGCTATTTTCAAAATACATTTAATCATAGTTAATTCAATTTGTATGAAACTAGAAGTGTATTTTAAAAGAAATATTGAGCACTTTTTTAAGCATACGCCGCTATTTAATTGTTATTTTCTACTTTTCGGTACTTCAAATTTGTGAATTCAACACTACCAATGCTGCGACTGAAAATATTTTGCTTTAAAACACTATCAGTAGCTCGTGTAGGATGATTATCCTCACCCTCCTTCCTCCCCCCCTCCACCCCCTTGAACTCACCAGACTGGTGGGGGGTGGGGGTGGTAGAGATATGCCGAGAGATCGAGGGAGGGGGCGGTAATTTTCTAATTAAGGTACGAAAATTTAGCTGTGTTCTTAATTTAGCTATCTGGAATAAAATAACACCAAATATCACTTGGAATAACTTTTTTTTCTTCTTTTTACAAAGAAGATATTTATGTTATTATTATTATAATTATCACTATTAGTAGTAGTAGTAGTAGTAGTAGTAGTAGTAATAGTAGTAGTAGTAGTAGTTGTTGTTGTAGTATTAGTGAAAGTAAACCCTAATTTTAAATTAAAATTAAACGTAAACAATATTTTCACTTCCTGGTTCATATCAGTGTTCTCCATCACGTCTATTGTTAATATTGCCACTTTGTAAAAAAACATTATCTACTGTTCTACTGATTATATATCAGTATTCTTTGAAAGAAAGCTTTATGAGTATAAAGACTTAGCCCCGCCCTCGCTACGCCTCTGCATAGACGCATTCACCGAACCCTTCTTGTTGGTTCTATATTCGCACTGACAAAATCAGAGGAGTGAGCTGTCTGTCGGGACCTCCGCTGTTCCCTGATGTAGTCGTGTCTATGTAATTAAAAGATGAATAAACCGGGAGTGATCTCCCCTAAACTTTCTCGAATATTCTTATATAAAACAACAGGGGATGGGAACTTCATTTTAAAAACTTAAAGTTTTTAAAATAGAATAAAATCTCGTAGAAAAAATTAATTGCACACCAAGTGAACGCCAAATGAAATGTGCATAATAGTGCGCAAAATTGTTAGTACTTTATAAATTTACATGCGTTTTTTGAGAAATCGGAAATAGCGTAAAGTAGTACTTCCGGTCGACGGAAATTACTCAAAATTTAAAAGAAGGTTGAGAATTAGATCTTTTACTTACATGTGAAATTTCATATATCTTTCTGAAATAGTACTCAAGTTATAGGCTTTTGAAATATTCAAAGTAGAAAAAGTATCCCTTTCCGGTTATTGGAAATTGCTCAAAAGTTGATTTGGATCTACGATTTTGATATAATACTTATATTTGAAATTTCATCAACCTAGCTGTAACGGTACTCAAGTTATCTTGTTTTCACACAGACACACATGCACACAGACACACACACACAGACACACATACATACGGACAAAATTGCAAAATTATGTTTCTCCGTATCAGTGAGGTGTTAAACGTCGAGATTTGTAAAAATCTCGTAGTTTTTTATGCACGATTACAAGACTTTCTCTATACTTCGTATATACGAGAAAGTAAAAATGAAGAACGCCGTCCTGTTTGATTTATGATTGTATTGGATCGTCGTACGTTGTTCTTCAACTTTAAGCATTGACCCTGTCCTCATCTCACATCATAACAGTGACCTCCGCAACTGAGACCGACTAACTGACACCCTAGGGTTCGCTAGAACACAGGATAGGAAACACTGTTATTATATATTGTTTTCTGTAAACATATGATGTACTGTTTATAGTTAGGTTTGGGGCTAGGTTGTTTTTGGGTGAATGGGTAAGGCTCCGGAAAAACAACAACAACTTCTTAATTAATAAGCATTTTTTATTTATTTTTGGATGTTTAAGTTAGGGTACTTAAGAGAAAATATTTGCATGCACAAGGGGCTCTTCTGAAAACATGGTTGCCATGGCAACGGCAGCCATCTTTGAAAAAAAAACATTTGTGGATTTCTAAAATTTAATAAACTAATATATTTATTGGTCATATAATCATTGATCCTTTTTTTACTAACACTAATTGAGTCTGCCGGCTAATTTTGTAACAGAAAACATTCAAGAAATATTATTTTTTGAATTTTTATAATTTGGTATGACGAAATTACATTCAAATTAACGGTAAATTTAGTTGTAATTAGAATTCCACGGCAACCATATTTCATGCTTTCAAATATTTTCCTCTAAGTACTCTAACTTAGATATACACAAATAAATCAACACACGTTTTAATTAAGAATATGTTTTTTAAGTACAGATATAAGCAGGAAAGAAATATTTCTATACCATTTTATTACTTTCAATGTAACAAGATAACGCCGCTATTAAATAAATGTCTTTTTAAGCATTTGCTTTCTATACAGTAAAACGTCGCGTGTTTGTCGTCAGTAAAGCAATAGCTGATATAGTCCTTACAACGAAACATTTAAAACATGCATACTGAAACCTGTGTTTGTTACGGATATAGATCAGATTTATTATCAGTGGCGTAGCGAGGTCGGGTGGCACCCGGTGCGGCACTTAATGGTGTCACCCCCCAGAGGCGGCGTAGCGACCCTTCCCGGGGACAAACTTTCAAGTTTTCGAATTGCACCCTCCCCCCCCCCTCTCAAACTTTCGATTTGCATCCCCCCCCCCCCCCCCAAGTTTTCGATTTGCACCCCCCCCCCCTCAAGTTTTTCTCTATATATTTTGCTATTTTTGCCTTGGTGTCACCCCCCTAAATGGTGTCACCCGGTGCGGTCCGCACCCCCCGCCCCCCCCCCCCCTCGCTACGCCCCTGTCCATTATTATAATTAGTTTCGTCCTACAGCATTCAACTCGCAAAGCAGATTTAGTTTAAAGTTACTATAATTATCTCTTCAAGTGTAATACGCAGAAATAATACACACGGATATTTATTGTATGTCTCGTTTGTTTTATTGTGTGAAGTAAGTGTATGAGTTCTTCTTAGAGTTGCTTATACTGAAGTGAATGTCGTTCATTCAGGGCGGATTTAAACCTGATAGCTCTACACTATCACAGATGTGGAACCATTTATAATTCCAGATATGACATTTTAGAGCCAAATATTTTCGGATACCTGTAGAGTTCAACAGCTCTGATGGGTACCTGACTCTCGTTAGGGAAAGTAAAGGCGGCTGGGCATAGTGATGACCACACTATTCCTTTATATGCCGAGGTCACAAAAACAGGTGAACTCTACTTCACTTGCTCCATAAACCGCCATGTTTGGTAAAAAAAACTTAACTTTTTATGGGGTTTAACGGAAATAATATTAAAAGGTTTATATATACTAATTAATAA